TTAGAGAGTTTATAATCTTTGTCTACTTTGATATCGGAAGCTCTTAAGATCCTGCCACAAAGAAACCCTCAACCAGGAAGGTATATCAAAACTTGGGGAACAGGATTTTCAAAGGCTCATGCAAGATTCAGGCTCAGACTCACTTATCCTTGGGAAGTATATATTCCATGCCATGACCAAGAACAGCTATTAGAGAGGAGGGGTTGGGACCCTTTAACAAGAACAACACAGTAAGCTCTACCATTGAAAAAGATTTTAATTATACACTACGCATTCCTACTTTGGAATACTACAAAGCTCTAAAAATAGAATGAGTGAATCTATGGGTTCAAATAGATTGGAAAGTGGAAAAAAAACTTCAAAGAGAAAAGGCCAAGGTATAGAATAATGTGTATCATATGAATATCTTGGTACAGAGATAGGGAGTCAATATAAAGATAAGTGAAGTCCAAACCAAAATATGCAGAACTGATTCTAGAGACAGGGATCATGGAGAATCAATAAGACCTGTTAGATATAGGGCGAAGGGAAAAGAAAGCATCTGGGAATGCCTTGTTTTCTTAACCATTACAAAGGTAATCAGAATTCTTGTTTATCTGGCTGTTTATCAAGATGTTTAATGATGATTTAAAACTACCTTCCATCAATTTATGGCAAATTCCAAATTACTAATATTTGCAACACTGCATATCTGACATATGAAGGAGCAAAGGAAATTTAAGAACAGGGGATAAACTGGCAGAAAAACAACCTTGCAACTTTCCAGGAAAACCTACATATAAAAACTATCAGGGATAGACATACCCAAAATTTACATTTGCTCTAGTACTCCTTGAGAATTTTTTTTTTCTCTTACAGGCTATTTTTTCAATATTTGCTAACTTAGATTCAGGATAAGAACTTTCTGCTATGGATTTATAACTCATTTCCAACCCTTATTCTCAGTCATTAAAACTTAACTGAGGGCTGGGTTTGTGGCTCGGTAGAAAACTCGTCTCACATGTGTGAGGCACTGGGTTCGATCCTCAGCACAACAAAGATAAAGGTATTGTGTCCATCTACAACTAAAACAAAAATAAAATTAAAAATTAAAAAAATAAATCATTCTGCTGCACATAAATTATACTTCAAATTATAAGAAAAAAATAAAAAGAGGCTTAGCTATACATGAAAAGGAAGCCTGCTGAGGACTGTAGGTTCACAGAACTGTTTGTTTTCTTCTGAGAAAGGAATAAAATGTAGTGGTGATATATGACAGTTTCCTCAGAAAATGTCACTAACATTTATTTAACAATACAATCTCCTTATACTTCACATCTACCAGGTAATGTTTATAATTTTTCCAGGATCTACATAATAAGAAAAGCCAAAGTATTACCAAGGCATGGGTTCCTAGGGGGTCTCAGGTCCAGGTTTTTGGCATCCCACCAAAGGATCTGAGCAAAGGAAGAGATTGGCAAGCAAAGCAAAGGTTTACTGAAAATGAAGTTCACTCTGGGAAAGCAGAGTGGCAGAGCTGTGAAGAAGCTCAAGGCCCTGTCTACATAGTGGAGCTTGGTTTTATTGGGCTGTGCTAGTTCTTCCCCTTTTCCCCTGGATAGATCTGAGTCTGTCACCGTGATTGACAGCTGAATTTGACAATTTCTTCTCTACAGTCCCCTGCCCCATCTCAGAAAATGCACTGAGGGAGTAAATCTCAATGCTAACTAGTAACAAGTTAACTTTAGGTCAGTCCCTCTGACTATAGCACATGCCCAAGATCAGGGACTTTCCCTTCAAGGGCCTTCCTTGTGGTCCTCTAGCTTCCTCCCTTTAACAGCAAGATGTACAGTTTTCCTTCACAGGTAGAGTGACAGACAAGTGAAGTTTGATTTGTGACTGAGGGCCCTAAGTGGTGGTCTGCCCTTTTTATCCCTTCCCCACACCCTATATCTCCTACCTAACAAAAGGAACTACAAAGTATCTAATATTACTTTCCAATGTACAATTTTAATTTATGTTTCCTATAAATAGGAGAATAATTAATAAAAGCAATATTAATAAATTTGAAGAGAAAGAACCTAAAACCTCAAATCGCAGAATGGATTAGAAAGTTTTCAATGTTTACATTAGAGATTCCAGTAATTGTAGATGCAACATCCATTCTTACCTTACCTCCCCAGTGATTCAGAAGACACTGACTTCCCCAGATCATATCCTAGCTCCAGGGCTGGTTCAGAAACCCAGACTTATTTAAACCAAACAGCATACAGTGATTATTACTAGTCTAAAGGTGACCATGGGGTCTAAACAGGGCAAATGAAAAGAACTTTTAGTATGTGATTATGAAACTTCTATTTCTGTGCTGAAACTAATGGATGTTGTTGTTCCAACTGCCGATTATAACCACACTGAAACAAGAAGGAAACTAGCCTGAGGATACATAGGAAACACAGATAAACCAAGTTAGTACTTTGTTCATACCGTGCTTAAAGATCAAGCCCTAGAATCTCCTCTACTTACAAAATTTGCAATATGAGAGAAAAATAAACTTCCTTCTGGAATAAGGTAAATTATTTGGGGGTGTCTGTCATTCAGAGATGGATCCACCATAATTATTTTTAAATGGTTTCTCTAAAGTAGATAACCTCATGAAAGCTACTTCAAATTAGGAAACAACACTTCATATTTTATAAATAAATTACAATCTTTAAAAGTGTACATAAATTCATTAATCCATCTAGTTCAATCACAAAAATATATGTGACCAGTTAACAGACAATGAGTTTAGGTTACTTTTACTTAATTGCACAAAACTGTTTACAGTACATTTCTCAATAAAGAAAAATTGAATTATAACCCAAGGGTGAGTTAATTTGTACAAATCTTGAATAATGTCATATATATTTCGTTAACAGATGCTCAGAGACTCTGCAAAGACACTCCGCTCAATCAGAAGCCAGATTAAAGTTCCATCTGGAGCCTAATGGCTCCATGGTTCTATTACAATTACCCAAGTCACCAAAGTAAGCCTTAATAGCTGTATATCACGATCTCTCTTGAAGGTACATATAGTCTTGCCCCTAAACCCAGAAAATAAGATCATAATTTTGTGTATGCATACTCAGATGCAGAAGATTTAGTAGGTATCCAAATGCTATTGCATTTTTTCACTGAACTTTTCCTATGTGACTTTTCATCAGCATATCTGCTTAGAAACAGATGCTGGGATACTGCATCATCACCTTACCTTGACATATAAAGGACAAAGTTCACTTTCCCTTTAATCTATCTACAGAGTAACCCAGATACCTAGAATAATCTTTCACATTTCTCTTAGATCCTATCACAGGCATTTCTTATCAAAACAGAAAAACTGGATAAGGCTATTTTATTTCCTAATTTTCATGGCTATAAATTGTTGCAAAGCCAAAGGATTTAAGAGCAGGAGGGAACCTGGAAAGTACTCAAAGATCCGCATCTAAAACCAACATTCCTCAAAGTTCCACTGCCTGACATGCACTCTCTGCTTAAAACATTTTATAGCAATTTGACATAGTAATGAGCTTATGTTTTATATATCTTCAAGTCTTTGGAATAATATACATCTTTGGGTTTGTTTCTGTCTCTGGACTAAGACTTGGGCCCAGTTAGAACACTGAATTTCACCTGAAAGTGTGTGTTGGCCTAACAAGGTGTTTTGTTTCATTTTGAATGCCTTTAGATGGAACCCAGACTTTCTGATTAGCTAAAGTAGTAAGGTATTTACATCATTATCAGGTCAGCCCCAGAAGGCATCTGAAGTGGTCAATTAAAGATCCACTAGGCCAATGTTTCTCAAACTCTACTAACACCATTGGTGAGAAATAAAAGCAACTTCAGTGAATTGCATATAACATTTTTAAAAATGACTTGCCATTGCATAACCCACAAAAAGAATACAAGAATACATACACATGTGGAAGATCAGCATCCCTAATTCTAAAATCCTAAATCTTCCAAAAGTTAAAACTTTTTGAGTACCAACATAATCCAGAATTGTAAAATTTCATAGCTGTCCTCATGTACTAAGTTGCAGTCTAGAGGCAGATGCACAATTTTAAAAAACCACCAAAAAAACAATTGTATAAAAATCACTTCTAAGTTATGTGTATAAAGTGTATATAAAACAAACAAATTTTGTGTTTAGATTTGAGTTCTGTCCTCAATATATTTCTTATGTGAATATTCCAAAGTCCAGAAAACTTCCAAACTTGAAACATTTCTGGTCCCAAGCATTTCAGATAAGGGATACTCCACCTTTCTTTGTATATGGGTTGTGTCTTAAATTTTATTTCTTATTCATGGACATAATACTGTGAATGAACAACACTGTACCAGATGAGTACCTTCAAAGATGCAGAAGCTGGCACTTGTCACAGTTAGCAGGACCAGATCCAGTGGCCCTTTTCCTATATTCATGATTATAAGGTTTGTTTGGACATCGTGGTCTACAAAGCCAGTAAGAATATATGTACCTAAACTAATATTTAAAAGTCCTAGACCAACTAAAATGTTTTTGTATCTTAAATACTAAAGATGAATTTTTATGTAGTTCATTTGATTATACAGAAATTAAAAATGGCTATAAGTCCCCAAATAAAACAGAATACAGAAGTCCTCAATAGTTTAAAGACCAATATACAAATAATATAAAATTTCTAAAATTTTGATAAATATATTTAAGTATTTTATAAAAATATTCTTATAAAAAACACTGGCAGCATGCCAGGAAAAAGTTTATCTTAATATATAATTTATTACTTAAATAAACATGAGGAAAATACCTGAATAACAAGTAAATAATATTACAAGGTAAATTATAAAATAAGTACAAATAGTACATTAAAATGATACTACTTTTCTCCTATAAATTAGCACAAATATTTCTTTTTAAGTATTAATGTTGCTATTGATGTGAAAAATCCAGGAATCTCAAAATTTGTTGCTGGGAAAGAAAACTGGTAGCTTTTGGCACTTACCAGAGGACTTCTAATTACCCTTTTATCCAGTAAATCCACTTCTGGAATTTATCCTATGGAAACAATAAGAGGGCATACAAATATTATCACAAGTAATTTTGAATGCAGTATTGTATATATAATAGTGAAAATTCTAACTCCCTCAATAGGGAATTTTTAAATTATGGTGCATCCTTACAACTATAAAACGAAATGTATATTTATCTTTCCTGCCCATAAAATGCTATTTAAAAAAATACATGTTTAAGATCCCATTTTTATGTTAAAACAGATTTAATCCTTCACTAGTAAACCACCCAATAATTTTAGACAAAAATGCATTTTTACATAGAATTCTCTAACATTATTGTTTTCTTTCAGCAAGAATACCCAAAATTGGGCTACGGTTGTGGCTCAGAGGTAGAGCACTTTGACTAGCATGTGAGAGACATTGGGTTTAATTCTCAGCACCACATATGAAAATGAATAAAATAAAGGTCCGTCAACAATTTTAAAAAATTTAAAAAAAGAATAGCCAAAATTATAAGAAAAAAGAGAAGGAAGGAATAGAGGGAGGAAAGGAAGCAGGCAGAAAAGTAGAATTAAACGTAGAGAAATCTCACGATAAAATTAAGCAACCTAGAGAAACTGGTCTTTGAAATTAATTAAAATAAAGTTTTTTGACAAGGAAAACATAGCCTCTGAATATCCACAACAGGTAAAAAAGCAGGCCTTAGCCACAGACCTCATTTCTACCCCTATGCACTACATGAAAGTGCAGGTGTGATTAACAAAAAGCCTGCATCTTTTATCTAGGAATTGGCCAGAAACAGCCAAGGGTAGCAGCCTCCTACACGAGGTACTAAAGGCATCAGCAGCAGCCAGGAAACTCAACTGCAAATGCCAACAGAAAAGGCTAACTGCAAACCCTATTGCCATAGAGGTAAACCTGCATGTAGACAAGGAAAGTAAAAAACTCCTCCTGGAAGAGCAAAGAAGTTAGATTACCAGGTCTTAAGTCTTCTCCTAAATGGAGCATTATGCTACCTTGCAGACTTAGATATTAGTCAACAGTCTGACTTATGAACTGCAGAATTTAATTTTCCACGTAGTATTTCAGCCCTGTGTCCCATACTCTTTATGTGTGTGTATGGAAGCATGTATCAAAAAATAAGGTATTTATTCTGTTTTTACAAAGAAAAATAATCTAAAGTTTAGAATTTAAGACTTCAACTGACCTTAACACTCATACACTTAAAATACTTAATTTCCCAAATACACTGATTTTCCTTACCATAAAGTCATGTGATATGGACTGTCCCTAACTGTGCAACAGGATCAAAGACATTGTCCTGAATGCTACACACTTTTTACCTTCAGTAAGACATACTAAAATTTCAAGTACCATTAAGAAATAGAAAGAACAATTTATGTTCACAAATATTTTCTTCCTTAGAATAACATCTAAAAAAGTAAAAGCCAATCAAGTATTCGTACAGATGTTGAAAACAATTCAGTCTTACAGTTTTCCCTAACAATGTGCATAATACATCATGGGACAGAATGGGAGAGAATATCAAATTTGAATCTTGGAACACCTATTTTGGAAAGCAGGACATGCCACGAATGCCACCATACATGAAGGTCTTAGGACAGGATAAGAGGTCTGGCAACCTACAGACATAGGAGTTAATAGGCTCAAGGACACCTATCTAAGGGTAGAGTTCTATATCACTTTTTTTTTTTAATATTTATTTTTTGGTTTTCGGCGGACACAACATCATTGTTTGTATGTGGTGCTGAGGATCGAACCCGGGCCGCACGCATGCCAGGCGAGCGCGCTACCACTTGAGCCACATCCCCAGCCCTCTATATCACTTTTACAAAGATAAAAAGGTCTCAGAGTCTCAAATTCTTTCCAGGAAATGGGCCTGCACGCTACTCCCCAAAATAATTTTTTCCTTTCCTCTTTACTCTGCATGTGACTGTGCTTCAAGCATCTGAATAATGAACAATACAAATGAGTCAATATAATGAGTGATAAATAGAAAATGGAAAACTATTTAAAACACTGCTTGTGTGATAAAAATCAATTCTACATATTAACCAATCAACTCACCACAAACCTAAAGCATAATCCACAATTACTAATTCACAAATATTGTTTTTCCAAAAATTCCATTCAATATCCAACATAAAAAAATTTTAATATAAAAATAATGATGAAGGAATCAAACCTTGAGACAGTATTCCTAATTCTACTATCTACTACTTCAGTGACACAAAGAAAATCATGCAACTTGGTGAATTTGTTTCCTTCAAATGAAAAAGTTAAGAGATATCAAATATATAACAAAGAAATTTAAGTACTCTTCTCACAAACTTGCTTGATACCATAGGAGATTTTTTTAAACAGTGACACTTCAGTTGTTTGTATAAAGTTAGATTTTATAATTATAAATGTTGATAGTACTGGTACAAATTCTTCTTGCTTTTCAACTCAAAAATTTGCATTTCAGCTTTTTGTCCAAACTATTATTTATATTAAGACATTACTCTACACAAAACACACACACACACTACACGACAGATAGACAATGCAAGGGCCAAAACTAAAATATCAGACCACCACCACTATGCCAGGTAAGTCTCTTGATTATAAACAGCAGAAACATATTCTGGTTAATATAAATCAAAAAGGAATTTATTGGCTAGACATTGAATAGCTCAAAAAATTTTAAAAAAAACAACACAAGGCTGGAAAATCAGGCTTGGTCAACTTGGTCAAGAACAAGTGATGATAAAATTAGAGAAAAATTCCTGCTTCCATAGTTTGGAAGGAAGCCTGCAACTTAAGTTACAACAACAAGGGTCACAGGCCAGGAAGGAACACCATCAGCAGCTCTCAAGAAGCCCACATTCCCTCTAGCTACCACAATGCAGTGCTCAATCTTCAGAAGGACCTCATGACAGCATTTGGGCTTCCTTGGCCTGGAAAAGTGAGAGGCAGCCTCCCATCTAACAAGAAAGAGGGTTTGGTAAGGCCCTAGCAGTGGTCACCAGAAATATCCTCTACTAAGGCCCATTTTTGGTAGTGGACAAAATTGAAGCATCTTTAATTCAGTGACTACTCATGTCTGTGAAAGTTTGCAAACTGAAAGTTCTTAAAAATTAGTGCATACTCTAACATTATTTATTAGATTTGTTTGGTGCAATTTCTAGCCTATTTACAAAGAAAAAATTCACTCTTCCTACAGTGGTTCTATCAACCGATACTAGACTGAGTAATTCGGATGGGGTCTAGCAAGTTTCTTAATACACTATAAGTATTGCCTCTTTATATTCTATCCGTCTGCTAATTTGGTTTCTTGCTTGCCTTTTTTGCTGCAGCTGTGCACCGGGTTAACTGTTTCAATGGTTTTCCTACAATAACTCACAAATTTTTTCCTGATCAGTGTGCTGTATGATTGGTTCTTTGTTCCTAAGATAATTATTTTACATTTGTCTACACTGAACTGCATTTGCCATCTGCTGGCCCAATCACCTAAACAATCCAAATCTTTTTGAATCTGATTGCATTGTTCCTCATTATTTCCCCTAGCTCCAATTTTAGGATCATCTGCAAACTCCAAGATCTTTTCTTTAAAGATTGGACACATTTCATTTTAATATAGAGGGATGTTTTTAAAAAGTGACCTTTTAGTCACACCAGCTGAAATCTTCTAACTTGAAAAGTTTCCATAAAGCTTATCCAAAGATACCTTCCAATTATACAAAGTGTTTCTAGAAACAAATTTAAGTAGAACCCATTCTGTTTCATTGCTCTTGATGTTACCATGTGTTTAAAAGTATTATGTCTAAGTTCTCTCCACAGTATAATTTTTAAGGAATATAAAAATTCTGTTATTCTTATACAGATATTCATGGCAATTTTGTGTTGTAATAAATTTCCTGAAGTACAGAGTACAAAATTCCTACATGTCATTTTACTGATTTAAAAAAAAAACATATCAAGTACTCATCAGTAATTGGAATTAGATGCACTGTTATCTTATGACCTTGCTCCAAGTGCTGATCCCCAACACTTCAGTTTCTTACTGACAAAGGAGATTTTAGAAGATAACTTCTCAGAACCCATCCAGCATTAGCATTCTAAATTACATTTTAAATATAAGTCACATACTAGAGCTACACTACTTCTCAAATTTTGCTACTTCAGATTTTCCAGGCTCCACCTAATTATAAACCCTTCTATAACTCACTTTTTATTTTGAAGTACCTTAAAAGTGAAATGTTGTATACACTTATTTAAGCATAATTCACCCTCCAAATTAATTTGGCATATCTGAACATTACAAATCTTTGTTACTTAACTATGATGAAGGGGACCAGGTACATCTTTAGATCTAAGAAAAAACTGTAACCTTCAATGATTCCTTGTAGTATAACCACACATCTCCACAAAAACCTTATTTAACTTCTTAAAATTATCAAAATTGACGTATTTCAACAAATTTGTTATTTCAAGTGGTAGATGAGGACAACAAACTGAATTTAAGATCGACTTTGATTTATTCATTCAGTCAGTGGATGTTACAAAGACAAAAATGAATACTTACCCTCAAAAAGCTGAGGGTAAGATGTATACAAGTGGAAACAAACTATTATAATAGAGATACAATTAAATGGAAGTAAGGAAAAGGAAGAATTTACCTATGGCTAGTAAATGAGAAGCTTTGAGGAAGATGCATTACTTGAACTCTATCAAATACTGTCTTCAAAAACAAATGCAGAGGCTGGGGATGTAGCTCAAGCGGTAGCACACTCGCCTGGCATGCTCAGGGTGTTGGGTTCGATCCTCAACACCACATAAAAATAAAAAATAAAGATCTTGTGTCCACCTAAAACTAAAAAAAAAAAAAAAAAAAAAAATATTTAAAAAATGCAGAACCAGGCATAGCAGCACAAGCCTGTAATCCCAGTGGCTTGGGAGGCTGAGGCAGAAGAATTGCGAGTTCAAAGCCAACCACAGCAAAAGCGAGGCATTAAGCAACTGAGTGAGACCCCGTCTCTG